CAAGTGTGTATGTGGTAGTGATAGGAGGTCATGTTCCTTGGATCTGTCATGAGGAGCTGCCACATTATCACGGGGCTCTCAGCCTCGGACGATCCCCCGTACATCCAGCAGCAGAGCCTCCCAGTGCCTACTCCTGATCTATCCCTTCGTGGGGGTTAGTCACACCTTCTCCAGTTCCCACTGAGTGACACCAGCACAGTACTGGCCTTCTTCTGGTGCCACTTCCTCCGGCTGTGAGTCCAGGTTGCTGCCCTGTGGCTGTGTCCTGGGGTCAGAGGTTGGCTTCCCCAAAGCTGAGCCCTCTTGCCCACCCAGGTCCTGCTGGGAAGCAAAGAAGCCCCGTTTTGCTCAGGCTACCACCATCCAGGCCCAGTATGGGAGAGCCTACACCTGTGGTCTGCACAAGGGGCCTGTCACCCTCTTGGGCCAGGGCAGGGTTCCCACCCTCCATACCTCGCCACTGTGTAAGGCTCTGGAAACACAGGTGTGCACAGGTGTGGGACAGTCCTGTCGTGTGCTATTAAGAGGAACATACAGAGATGCTAAACATGAATTGATGAGTTGGCTGTCCCCCTCCCACTCCAGAACTCAGCATCAATGGTACTCTGCATACAGTGCAGGCTCAAGTGGAAGAGTTCGAATGTTCCCTCTCAACGTCCTTTTCCTTAAAAAATGGCCTAGCCACATGACCTCTCTCTGTTATTATAAATCTAATACCACAAGTTTCAGTTGAGTGAACTCACATCTTATTTGGTATCTGGCTCTAACAGTCGCCTAAAGCTGGTGGGAATGTAATTGTACAATGCATGTGAGGGCTGTTAATCGTGTCGAAGCGGCACGGGCTGATGGTCTCCCCAGAACAACAGGCATGTCTGCATGGGACGCACTTGGTGTTATCCATGAGATGAAAACATGTAATTCTGCAAATGTTTATGGATTGTTAATTTGTGTGGATAGAAATCATGTCACGGGTCATGAAAGTGCCCACATACTTTCTTCCAGGTTTCTCTTGAGGTGATGCTTACAAAGGCTGCACACCAGGCTGACCTGTGGGCAGGAAGGGGACACTGGTAACCTCTCCCTAGAATGTGTCCCTCCACAGTGAGCCCAGTAATTGCACTGTGGCCCTGAGGGAGGTTGGGCTGCTTGCAGGTGGATGTTCATCTGCTGCCTCACCATCCTCATAGTGGCCACAGCTAGTAGATGGTCCCTATGTCCCCTAGGAGAGGAGATTGGCACTGCACCCAGAATGGGCATTTGGATGCCTGACTGGGAAGGCGTTTGGACCAGAGCTCTGTTCCTTGCCATAAAGGAAGCTGTGGAGTCCACCCATCCAGCTTTGGGGATTCTGGGACAGACAGAGGGGCAGGGGGGAAGAGAGAGGTGCCACGGCTCTATATCTACTGGGTCAAGCTGAGATTTGCTTAGGTCTCCTCTATGGGTGGCCCTGAAGAGGAGAATCACATGAGGGGAAGGTGACAGCACCAGGAACCCCCTGGGAGCTGTGCTGTCATCCCTGGCTGGAACGAAGGACGAGGCTTAGTGTGAGGATGCCTTCATGTGCTCTTTCAACCCCAGATGCCTGGCTACTGTCACATCAGGCCCCTGAGTGTGACTAGGGACCTACCTCATTGGACAGGTGTGATAGATCCAAGATTCAGACAACGCCCTGGGTGTGCAGGCTTTTCTGCCTCCCCTGTGAATCTCAGGGCACCCTGTCACTGACTCTGAGGGCCTTTGCAGATGGCAATGATCAGAACAGGGCTGGGCATGCAGAGAGCAGTCGGTAAACACCTCGTCCAGCTGCTCTGAGGGGGTGGCTGTCTGGGTGGTGCCTGAGGCCAGTTGGCTGGGTGTAGGAATAGCAGCAGTCCCCTAGAGTGGCTTCTTCCTCCTGGCCTGCAGGATGAGTCCACACCACCTCTGTACACAGGGCAGGGGCGGGGGACACCTAGCATTTCTACATAAGGAGCTGCCCATGTACGAGGTTTCCTGTACATGAATGATGTCCAGGGGCCTGCTGCTCATACTTCCCTGGGTGGATGGTCCTGCAGCGAGTCCATTTGGGGCCTGACTGCAGTTTGACCTTCTTCCATGTAGATACTGTCTTCACTGGGTGGTCAGATGGGGTCCTTCATATCAGGGTAGGGAGACCCCCAGTACTTGGGCACTGTTATAACTAAGGCTCTGTTGCCATAGTGGACTTGTAAATCCCACATCAGGGAGGCTGCCCCTCTATCCCGTTTCCTCCACTTGGTCTGGCCCTGGCCGAGGTGGGTGCCCTTCCTCGCTGTGGGGGGTCCTTCCTCGATGCGGGTCTTGGGCACCCCTGTTCCTGGAGACCATGCAGACTGTTCCTCAACCCTTGAGCCACCTCTCCACAGACTAGGAGACACAGCTCAGCTGCCCAGGGACACACCCCCAGATCTGCTCAGACTGAAGCTGAACTCCAGGAGTACACTTCTGAGATCTGAGCATCCCCAGGAGCTCTGACATCTGTCCCCAGCCAGAAAGGGAGATTGGGAAACACCAAATTGAAGCCTGGAGCAAAGGAAGGCGAGGGACAGGAAACGATGGTGGGAGGTTCACAAGGCAGATGGGGAGGGGACACAGGTTGCTGTCTTCCAGCCCCAAACAGATCCTGTAAGGCTTGTTTTCATGTTTGGGAGACAGCAGGCCTATTTGGGCTCCTCTCTTAGAAAGTTTATGCTGAGGTCCCAGGGTGGGCACCAGGATATACACATCTGGTTGATCTGGACCCTTGGTCCCACACGGCCTTAGGTTGGGGGTTCGGGGCACCAGTATTCTAGCGTGAGCCTTTTCTGCAGCCATATAGCCCAGAAGATGGGAAACACCTAGGCTCTACAGGAAAAACCCAGGCAGAAGGGCAGACAGCCCAGCCCAGAGTAGGAGCCAGGAGGCCCATTGAGAATATCAAAACAAACTCACAAACAAACAAACCAAAAAAACAGGTCAAATCAAGAGGAAAACAGCCAGGCTGCCCTGACTACCTTAAGATGGCCTTGTCCTCTGGCCTGCCTATTGGATGGGTGGTAGCCATTCCAGGGAACTGAGGGTGCAGTCCCTGAAAACGACAGGCAGTCCTAGGCTGCTATAAGAAGGGGGTATCTGGGAATTTCAGGGAGGCCTCACACCCTATGGCCAGTCTATATGCTGCTTCCTCTGAGGCCCAGGGCCAGGCAGAGCAAGGGCAGGCCCTCACAGTGAGGCCACGCCATGTTCTGAAGAGAAGGACCCTGGGCGGCAGTGGCAGGCAGCCCTTCTGAGGGTGCATAGCTACACGGCTCCCAGACAGTGCACCTGGTCCCTAGGAGGCCAGGGCCATCACAGACCCCCAAGGCCACTTTAAGGCAGTGTCTCTAGGTGCACAGATTTGAGGCATGGCTGGCCTTCAGGTGCATCTGCAACTGGAGCGTCAGTTCTGCAGGCACAGGGTGGGACAGGCACAGAAAGACCTGGGGACAAGAGCAAGATTGTGTTGTGTATGCTGGAATGAGCTGGCTACATGGAGGCCTCAGGGATGAAGGCCCAGTGCTGGGGATCGTGGAAGCTTTCCTGCTCGGCTCCACTTGGCGCACCAGAAGAACAGCAGCAGCCTGGCACAGCCAAAGGAGCTGTGTCTCAAAGAAGTGGTCAGTCTGGTCTGGACTTGGGGGGGCTTCTCACACATGGCTCCTTCCTGTGCCACCTGCAGCCACACTGGCTGTCTGGTCAGTTCAGCAAGCCCCACACTCATGCTCACCACAAGGTTGGGCTTACCAAAAAGGGAGGCTTTCCCTAAGGCTTTGTCCTGCAGCACCCTCCTGAGAACCCTATGTCCTCCTTGTGCCTGATCTCAGGGTCTGATGGGCTCCTTCCTCAGCTCCACGAGCCAAAAGCATGATGTGTTTACTCTCCATCATGTTGTTTGGTGGCACCCTGTGCTCCATGGTCCACAGATGCACCCAGTAGAGGAATCTGTTCCAGTTTGGCACAGAGGGAGGTGTCTAGTCATCCACTGTCAGCTCAGGAGGACTTGCTGGAGCAATGTGGTGGTACAGGACCCTACCAGTCAGAAAAGGGAAAGAGGGCCTTGTGCTGGGGACTTGTCCATTCCCATGGGAAGGCTGGGTGGTGGGAACTTTAGAGGCTCCTCTGTAGCCCCGTGGCATCAGTGGTGAAGCCTTGGTCCAGCTGCTATGAGAAGGGACACCTTAATATCTCCTGATGGCTTGGGAGAATGAGTGCATACCCTAGTGCTGCCCAGCTCAGGAACTTTGGTCAGAACTACAGTAATTTGCACACATTTCCCCTGAACCCCCGCTCTGCAGCACCTCCCAACTTTGTTAATGGAAATCTGGTGATCCATGACGCGAGAGTGGCAGACATCTGCTCCCGGGTAATGTGGTGGTAATGTACATATCGATGATCAATCTGCAGATTTGCAAGAGAGGCATAAAGTATTTAATTATAATTGCGTTGGGCAAGGCTGCGTGGTGGCAGCGACATTTGAATAGGTCACAGCCAGCCCTCACCCCTGTTATGTTGTTGGTATTAAATGCCATTCACTCCAAGGGCTGGGAACATTTCTGAAGTCGCAGGATATCACACGCTGGCAAATTGAAAATGTCCCTTCCCTTTTAAAAACATGATTGATATCCTTTGCAAAGCAAATGCTACACCTCAGAGTACACAGATTCTGCCTGGTGCTGCCCACTGCCTCCTCCAACTGGCTGCCCAGGTGGTGTGTGGCCATGATCGTGTGTGTGGAGGGGACTGGTCACTAAGAATTCCTCCCACTCTGAGGCTGAACTTCCAGAGTCTGTCCTGTTTAGAGCAAAGGGTTTTTCTGTTTCAAGTCAGGATTTGCTAACTAGAACAAAGTGCAGAAATAAAACAAGAACCAAAAAAGTGAAATGCAAAGTTTATTTGCTCAACTGATAGCAGAAAAATATATCTTTGGACAGTCCCTCTGCCATACACCTATGTATAGTACTATTTATATCACATCACCATCTAAATCATGTCTAGTGTAATTTAGATTGATACTTTTAGCATATCTGACCAAGGACATAAATAGGAGGACTGCAGAGAAACACAACACACACAGGTCGGACAGACAGATACACACCCATGTGGCCATCCAACACCCTGAACAAACCCTACAGGGCAAGGAGCTCTGCCGATCCTATCCATAAAATGGGCACAGAGTGGCAGCAGCCACCTCCAGGTCTGGCATGTGGGCTGCATACATCCTTGGCTGGCATAGGGAGCCCATCAGAGTGTTGACGTTCCTAGCAAAGAGTTCTGGAGACAGGCAGCTGGCATTTACAAAGGAGAGGTGTCTGCACCCCCTCACTTCCGCTTTCAGCAAATAGCATGGAGGTTGGCTCTTCTTCGGCAGAACTGGGGTGGCTCTGGCACAGGACGGGTGTGAAAGCCAGGGAACGGGCATCTCACCCTCACTTTAGCAAGCATCTGTCAGGAATGCCTTCTCCCCTCTTTTGAAAACAATTAAATGAACACACAAGCTCTCTATTTACATGGTAGATGAGCAATTAAAGAGTTAATGAAATTTTAGGCCTTCCGAACAAAAATGCCACCAGGACCAAGTAGGTCTCCGCTTGGCTCCGCCGGTCTCAGCTGCCTGCCCACCTTCACACACCCTCAACCTGTTTTTAAGAGTCTGATAAAGCGAGACTGCAATTTCTAATCCAGACAGCCAGGCTCCTTGGGTGTGTTTTTGCCGCTCACAGAATTAACCAATCTTTGTCACCTAGTGGATCAGATTAGGTGTAATCCATACTAATGTTCAAATTAAGTCACGGAAAGCAATTACCTCTGCAAAAATGGGCTCGTGAAAAATGATAAGGTTGGTCAAATAGTTTCACAATGTGTAATTGTGTTTTTAAAACTGCCTGTCTAACTGCTGGTCTCTTTGAAGTAATTAAAACATTTACATTTCAAATGGAGTATACTGACTGTGGCTGCTCTCGATCCTGCACCTTGCAGTACAGCGGGGCTGTCAACAGTCTGCTAGGGTGGCTGCTTGTTCAGGAGCCAGACCAGGTGGAATGAAGCCCTTCCCTATCTCAGAACAACCAGGGCAAGACTTTGCCCTAGTGTCCCCCCAGATTTGGGCCCCTCATTCCCACCCTGCTTTCTTTCCTGTTTAAAAACTGCAAAGGCCTTTGAAAATTGTCACCAGAATATTCTGCTCACGCACACGAGAGGTTCATCTCTTCCCATCGACCACATCGCGCAAACAGGAAGCCCACTGTACACCTGGGGGTGACTGCTCTTCAGGGACCAAGTAATGTCTGTCTTTGAGCTTGCTGTTAGCTTTATGCACACAGACGGAGCAAGCCAGCTTCATTATCTGCTTACTGGGCACACCAACAACTTTGGGACAAGGCTATTTATGCAGCCATATCTCACAGGACCTGGAAGGAAAGGCTACTCTACTCCAGGGAATGTTCTCTTGGCTTTTCTCCTCAGAGCAGTTGTCTCACAAATTCAAAGCAAACCCTGAAGTCAGGCTAGAACCAAGCAGCTTCCCTGCAAGCATGGAACTTTTTCTGAATGAATAGTCTCATGTCACAGTAAATATCTCTTAGGAGACAGTCTTTCATGTTCTCTTCACCTTGGGGTGTGCACTGGGAATAAGTCTGAAGATACGGATATCCAGGCTTCTTGGTTCCAGGGTGTTTAGGGTTTAAGTCGGCTTCTGGGGAGGGCCTGGACCCCAGACAGCATAGGGGACTCACACTGTCCAAAAGCAGAGACTCATTTGTTGGGGCTCCAGGGAAGGACCTCTGCCCTCCTGTAAGAGACAGGGTGACCCGAAACCGGGAAAGGGGTCTGGCGCAGACAGGATGTAGTCGATGCTGAACTTGATGTCCCGGCGGCTGTCATTGCCTAGAGCCGCGGGGCCCGCGGGCGCCGCAGCCTGACGGCAGGGGGCGCGGTCTGAGGCGGGTTCTGACGGCCTCGGGGGCCCCTCTGCCCTCCCTGCCTTCGCCCCTTCGCACCGGGGTCCTCGCCGCCTCCGCCGCCGCCTGAAGTTCCCGTTCTCGAAGAGGTCGAGCAGCGACTCACAGCCGCCAGCGAATGTCCAGTAGTTGCCTTTGCCCTTGTCGTGGCCCTCGGTCCGCGGCACCTGCGCGGGTGGGGTGGGGTGGGGATTTGGGGGAGGGACGGCGGTGTGACGGCGGCCCGAGTGCTCAGGGCCAGTGTCCCAGTGTCACCAAGGGTGTCCCCAAGCCGGGGACGGGATGGTATTGGGGCACGGGGCAGTATGGGGGTGGGGGTGGGTCTCACCTTGACGAAGCAGCTGTTGAGCGACAGGTTGTGGCGGATGGAGTTCTGCCAGGCGCGCTGATTCGCGCGGTAGTAGGGGAACTTGCGCATGATGAAGTCGTAGATGCCAGACAGTGTCACCCTGCCCGCTGGGCTCTGCTGGATGGCCATGGCGATGAGCGCGATGTAGCTGAAGGTGGGCGACACACACGCGCGGGGGTCACGGGGGACGCGGGCTGACACGCCATCTGCCCTCGAGGTCCCCAAAGTGCGTTCCCCCCACGCTTTCCCAGAGCCCACACTGAAGAATCCAGCCCCTCTTTCCTGCTGCTCCAGGCAGGTCCTGGAGACTGGGTCCCTTCTGTCCCCAATCCCCACCGCGGGATGTCACCTGTACGCGGGCCGCGTGAGCCGCTTCTCCTCGTCCGAGCTGCCGGCTGGGTAGTCGTCGTTGTCGTCGTTGAAGCAGTTGTAGGGGTACTGCGAACTGTCGAACATCCTGGCGACTCCTCCGCGCCGCCCGCCGGCTCGGGCTAGGTGCTACGTCCGGGCGGAGTGTGCACGGAGCTGCTGAGCCCGCGCCGCTGCCCCGCCCGGTCCTCTCTCGTCCAATCCAAAGCCGGAGAGGCTCCAGTGCGCTAGCGAGCAAGCGGAGCTGGCTCCAGTGCTACCAGTGACCCGCGGGGTGGGGGTACAGGGGCCTCACGGGCGGGGATGTCTTGCCCAAGTCTGGAGGGCCGGTCTGACTCCTGGCGGGCTCCCAGCACAGTGGTAGGTCTGTTTGCCCTGAGCCCACCCGAAAATACTAGTGTTTCATGGGTTTGGGTTGGAGTTAGGGGTTGCTTTCCAACCCTGCCTTGCTTCATCTCAGATTGGGGTCCAGCCTCAGGAGGAGCAGGCCGGAGGCCCAGCAGCGCCGCGCTCTCCGTCCCTGCCCAGAAGTGCTGTTCCCAGGGCCACTGGCCTCTCCTGGAGATAGGGTCTACATCTTGGGAGGCGGACTCTTCCTTAGGAGCCCCCGATGCGCCGGGCCTCCAAAGCTCTGGTCAGGGTGGGCAGGTGTGTGCAGGTCAGAAGTCACCGCTCAGTCAGGGAAGGAGGTGGGGCATGAAGGCCATGGTTGCACAGAGGAAGTGCCTTCCGATAACCCGCACAAGTGTGGCACCAGTGTTAATGAGTCTGCCCCAACAGGAAGCCTGAGGCAGTTTCTTCTGCCACCCCCCCCCCCAGTAGCACCCTGAGCTATTTATGGGCTGAACTCTGCTTCATCTAGCCTGTGGTCCCAGAAGTGCCTGGTACTGCCTACTGCCCCGGTAAAGAGGGGTACCTACCTTCCTAGCTTAGTGCGCTGGAGGTCTTCAAGATGGCGGGCCACTGAAGTGAACTTGATGTCGCTCCTCTGCTTTGGGCCAGCTGGTTTCTGCTGTCCTAAGTCACCTCATGTCACAGTTGCCCTCTCTGACAGACCTCAGAATTCAAGGGCTGGGATGTGGGGATGTGAAATGGCCCAGTCCTTCTGAACACAGTTTGGCAGTGTCTTAAAACTTAAAAGTGGAGCCAAGCATAGGGGGGCACAACTGTTCTCTCTGCACTGTGAGGCAGGAGGATTGCAAGTTCATGTCCAGCCCGGGTAACTTAGAGACTTAGAGAGACTCAGTCTTAAAAACAGAACAAAAGCAAAAAGACTAAGGTATAGGTCAATGTAGAGGCCCTGGGCTCAACCTGTAGCACCATAAAACAAAACAAAACAAAACAAAGCAAGAAACCCAAACATTCAATAGTCCTGTGACCCAGCAGTTACTCCCTGGCACCTGGGCTGTGTTCACCAGGACACCTGCAAACCAGTGCACAGAGCTGTTGTGCTTGCAGCGTTCCCAAATCAGATACAGCCCAGAAGTCCTTCACAGGGGAATGGTTAGGTGAACATGAGTGTCTCTGGCATGGGACACCACTCAGCAAGGAGAAGACAGGGCACTCTTTTGAGGCACACAACACAGGAGGCTCTCTAACAGGGTGAGAAGCCAGTCTCAATTTACCTGCTTTATGATTCCCCCGACAGCATGCACTGGACGCCAGGCGGTGGCCATGTGGCCTTTATGACTCAACTTCAATGATCCCACCTTACTTCCTCCCCAGACCCAGGCTTACCGGAGGCCAAGCAGAGAATATGGGGCTCGTTGTGAAATGAACAGGTGGGGTGGGAATGGCTGTGCAGTCCTACCTGGAAAAGCCTACGTGCCTCGGCTGTTTAAGTAACAGAATCAGAGAGGGAGGATGTTAAGGAACAAAGGAAAGCCAAAGAGTATTCTGCACAAAATGAGCTGCAAGATACACCTGGAGATCTAGGGTGCTGAAGGAGCAACAGTTGGGAAAGGAATTTCCAGCTGATAAGCTATTTCCAGCTGATAAATCTCATAGAACAATCTGACAAAATGTTCATGGCTTAAAAGAAGGACACTCAGGCAGAGTAATGGCACATCCCTGTAATCCCAGCACTTGAAATGCTGAGGCAGGAGGATCATTGCAAGTTCAAGACCAACCTGGGCTACAAAGTGAGTTCAAGATCAGCCTGAACTGCATACCAAGACTCTATATCAAAAAAGACAATAAATAAATAAATAAATAAATAAATAAATAAATAAATAAATTAAGATAAGGATGTTCAGCCTTAGACAGAGATGTGACTTGTTCAGTGGCTGTCATCTCACTCGGTGTGTGGTCCTTTGAGGGCTAGAAGAGTTTAATTCTGATGAAGTCCTGTTTATCTCTGTTTCCTTGGGTTGCCTCTATTTTTAGTATCACGTTCAAGAAGCATTTGCTAAACTCAAGGCCATGGCGATTTTTCCCAGTGTTCTCTTCCACGAGTTTTGATGCTCATGTACAGTAGAAAGGGTCATGCACCTGCCTCCATCAGCCTCAGAGAAATCACCTGACACCAAAGGACAAACACTGTGCAAGTTGCTCCTTCTCAGGGTCCCTGGAATGGGCCCAAACCCCTGAAGTGGACATGAAGATCAGGTAGGAGATGGAGATCAGAAGGGAGGTCACTGGGGCTGGGGGTGGAGGGAGGAGACATGGTTGATTCAGAAGGATGGAGTTCATGTTGGGGATCATGAGAATTGGGGGATACAGCTAGTGGTATTGGGAACAGAGCATCAAGGTCACGTCAAGGCCACTGTGTTGTGCATTTACAGATTGTCAGCATGACAAACATTATGCAATGTGTATTTCACTACAATAAAAAATACTTAAGAAAAGGCTGAGAATGTTTAAAGTGGTAAATTAAAGCACAATATCCACTTAAAACACAAGTGAGAGGAAACTCTTGAAGGAAAGATATTGTGGTCACTTAGAGGGAGAGACAAGGGTGGGCTGCAGGGTCAGTAAATAAATAAATAAATAAATAAATAAATAAATAAAAACAAATAAGGATGCTTGTCCTAATCAGAGATGTGACTTCTTCAGTAGTTATCTTCCCATTCAGTGTGTCAGGTCCTTTGAGGACTAGAAGAGCATAATTCTAATGAATTAATTTATTCTCCTGAGCCTATAGAAGATGAGGCTGAGGAGGAGGAGCCAAACTCAAGGGCGTTCTGGGAGTATAAAGTGTGCTCCACATAACTATGAACAAGTCCAGCTGGGTTCATGACCAGTGGCCCTCCTGTACCCCCATGATTCTCAGGAGGAAGGGTGCTGGTGAGGATCAAGTTTGTTGAGGACGTAGAGGAATGGAGCGAGTCCTAAGGTGGCAGCCATGACCCAGCCATGGAGACAAATTCTCCAGTAAGTACCTGGCCCCAGGACAAGGCCAGGTTGTAGGGGAATCTAGCCTGTAGTATTCAGATCATCAGCCTGCCACAAATGTCCCTGAGGGGAAGGACCTGCAACAGTGCCAGTCATGAGCATCAGTCAATTTCTGAAGTCCAGCCTGGAACTTGCAAGATGTTGGTTAACAGAAGCAGCATGTCGTTAGGAGGTGAGATGTCCAGCAGAACCTGAGCAGTGTAGGAGATAATGCAGAGCCAACTGGTGATAAAAAAAAATAGCCACAAAGGACATGTTAGGCTGGAGATGAGCTGCATGAGGTCCAAGGGGACCCTCAGCAGAGCCATAATACAGGTAGCTGTTATAAATGGAAAACTCAGTAGCAGAGATGAGTGTGGCCTGGAAGCTGGTTACATGAACTCTACCCAGAGGGGACATGTCAGTGAACCTGAAAACAAGCCACTGAACTTCTCAAGGAGAACACAGAGCAGGAGGGACCCTGGGGGGCACAATGTCATCAGATGGAGCGAGCAGAGGCTAGGACCCGGGAAAGAAGCTGGACGGAACAGGACTGGGGAAATCACGCAGAGGTAATGGGCTAGAAATTCCCCAAACCGTGAGAAGCCTCAGGCCACAGGTCCAAGCACAAGTTGTACAAACACAAATCTGTCCCTAAACCCCTCCCCTATACAGAAATTCATCAAAATAGATTCTTGAGCCAAGTGTAAAACTAAAATCAAAATGGGTCAAATATCTAAATATTAAAATAGAAACAACCTGTTGGCCAATAAAATAGGTAGAACTCTGGAAGACACAGGCAAGGACTGCCTGAACAGAACTCCAGTTGTATAGAAAAATAACATTAAGAATCAAAAATAGGATTGTATCAAATTTAGCTTCCACAGAGCAGAGGGGACAAGCAAGAGTGAAGAGCCAGCCTACAGAGTCGGAGCAAATATTTCTCACCATCCATAACTTGGATAAATGGCTAAAACCTAGAAAATACAAAGAACAACAACAAAAAAACTGGGACCCCCACAATAAAAGACTCAACAAAACATGAGCAGATGAAATTAATTGACACTTCTCAGAAGAAGGACAAATGGCCAATAAATACATGAAAAAATGCTCAACATCCCTGGCCATTAGAGAAATGTAAATTAAAGCAACACTGAGATTCCATGTTATTCCTGAAAAAATGACTCTCATCAAGAAATTAAAGAGAATAAGTGCTGGCATGGGGAGGGGGTGGGGGTAAGAAGCCCTTCTCCAATGTTGGTAAGAATGCAAACTAGTATAATCACTATGGAAGTCAGTGTGACTATCCTTCAAAAACAAAAAAAAGAAAAAAAAAAAAAAGAAATTCCATTTGCACAGTGACTCTCCTAGATATCTTCCCAAATGAGCTGAAGGTATTGTATCATACAATACGTGCCTGGCCATGTGGAGCACTAAATCTTGGAAGTAGCCAGCTATCCATCAACGCGTGAATGGATGCAGGCAGTGTGGAGCTTACAGTGGAGTACTACTTTAACCTAAAGAAAGATAAACTCGAGTCACACGTAGGAAAGTAATGCACCTCGAGACTGCAGTGTTAACTGAAATAAACCGGACACGCCAGCTGAAATAGCACATGGTTTCTCTTCTATGAGAAAGCCAAAGCATAAATAAATTAAAGAGAAAAATAAAAGATATAGGAAGAAACAGATTTTTTTTTTTTTTTTTTTTTTTTTTTTTTTTTTTTTTTTTTTTTTTTTTTGTGGCCAGCTCAGCTCACCCTGGTGGCTGGGCTGGTGCAACATCTGATGCCGGGGATCGAATTGTGGTCCCTGTGCTTGCCTAAGCTTGCCTAAGCAGGTACTTA